GGGCTCACCCGGGACCCCCAGGCGCTGGCGTAGCAGCAAATGATTCTGAGCTAAGAGGAGGTACGTGACGGAGTACGTATGTGCCTGATTGTGTGAGGATGAGCTTTCTGCCCTCAGCCGCCTCATTCCTCCAGGGGTCTTTCTCCGTGCAGGGTCCAGCTTCAGGGCCCTGGAACAGGGTTGGGCCATGCACTAGCGAGGGCACATGTGTTTGAGCATATGCTTCTGTCTAGGTGTTCAGTCACTGACCAGGGAGTCTGTGGGCATCTGGGTATGAGGTCAAGTACAAAGTGGATATCCTAGAACGAGGGTATGATTATGATCGCTGTGAATTCAATCAGACTTTCTGAAGGGGTCCTCTTGGGTGGGAAGGCGGCCTCAAAGGTGAGTGCACCCTGTAGGTGGTCATTGCATGCAGATGTGAGGGTGTATCCAAGACTTTCGCACAGTCAGGTTCCACATGCAGAATGTATGTCCAGGTGTGAAGCCACCCTCTGGTGTGTGTAGAAGGTAGACCCTGCTGCTTCAATCTGGGCACCACTGGTGGCTTAGGGGAGCCACAGCCCTCATAGCTGCTCCCTTGGGGACCTCAGTCCAAATCAGGACTAACCCCAGGGTGGCCTGTGGAGGTATGAGTGCAGTGACCTCCACCCAAGATGGTGACTCTGCCTCCCTCCATCCATGACACATTCATTCACATGAGCTCCCCAATCTCAGTGTACCAGAAGAAAGGCTGTAGGTCCGAGACCTGTTGAGTGGTGGATGCAAGGAAAGAGGAGGCTGCTCTATGAGTGAGCAGATTCCCTCTGGTTGGGTAGGGTTCCAGGATGTGGACTCTGCCTCCTGAGGAAATGAGGTTCCTCACACACTAGTGGGAGAGTTTGGGGTTCCCAAGTCTTTGTGGCTGGACCCTTGGCTCCTCTAGGGTCACTCGACTGAAGTGGACAGGACACAGTGGCCTGGCCTCAAGCAAACAGAGGAGTATCTGGGCCACCGTCCTCTGAAAGCTAAGTGTATTCATTTAGGGTTTAAAATAATTTCTTAAAAAACTTTGTCCAAGGCAACTCTGGGAGAAGGCACCAGACCACCAGACAACCCCCACCCCCACCCCGCAGGATTCAGCCGCAGTCCTCTGTCTCTCCCACACATCCTCCTGCCAGAGTGCAATGAACACTTCTAACACTTATTTCCTTAACCTTATAACTTCAAGGTGTCCTAAGCTGGGGTCTGGGTCTTACGCTCCTGCAGGACATAGCACCCCAGACACACTCCCTTACCTCACTCCATGTGGGACACAGTGCTGACCCCTTGCTCTCTCCCAAACACCTTCTCAGCCTCCTGGAAGCTCTCTGCCCGGCTCTTCTGCACACCGCCTTCTTACTCTCCCCTCCTTCCCTCAGGCTGACCATCCCCGTCGGCACCCAGGAGAAACACCCCCCCACCTTGAGGCTCCGTGAAATGAGGTGGGGCCCCACTTTTCCTGCCTTCCCCCCCCTCCAGTCGCCAGCCCCCAGCTTCAGAGAGGTTGGGCTGGCGGGGCGCGGCCCGCCTGTTGTGCCAGGTGGAAAGGGCTGCATTCTGAGGCCCCGGGGCCGAGTCTAGACGCCCAGTACCTCTGCGCCCAGTTCCTCTGCACCCCAGGCGTGCGCAACAGAACCTCGTGGCCCTGTAAGTTCTAAAGAACATCACAGCAACGCATGGTTGAGAATGGAGAGAGAACGGTGGGAAAACTCGTTTTTTTCTATTAATTAAACAAATTTTCCTTACTCTGAAGGAAAGAGAAAAATGGAGAGTAAAAATGAGAGAGAACATTGGACCGAAGAAAAGACAGAAAGGGCACAGCGAATCACAGAGAAACCCAAGGTGATCCTGCCTGAAAGCCGCGGCATTAATTCCAGATGTTGCCATTCAAAAGGGAAACAAAATCCAAAACCTGTTACCTCCTCTGGAGATCGAGCTGTTCCTCAGGGCCGTGACGTCAGCAGGGAGTGGAAGGTGAAAGTTAAAACTACTCTTGGGGGTCCGCGGCGACCTTGTCTCCGGCCAGAAGGACAGACAGACGGATGTGCGTCCCGCGTTCAAGAGGATCTGGGGAGACAGAGATGACACGTTTTACTTTCGTTTAGAAAAGAAATCAAACTTTTTGTTAATTTGAAACAACAGTGACAAAAAGAATCCCACCACCACGTAAAGGAAATCAAGATGCTGCAGAAGTGAGGAAAGGAAAGAGCAAGAGGGGGCAGGGGAATGGAATTAGGGGTTGGGAGAGCAAAGATGCGGAGCGCAAGGGACCCGGAGGGCTCCAACGGGAAGCGTAATCTCCATTCTCTCCCGCCTTCTCTTTAACAACGAAAATCCTCATAAACCATACTTACCCTTCTTTGATGCGTATCGTATCGGAAATTTTTAAAATAAAGGACCTGTGTTTTAAAGGCGTCGGGAGGAGAACACAAAACAGCTCCCAACTACTCCAAACGCATTGGACTTGGGAGAACAGAGCCGGAAGGAGGCAGGAAAAATCGTCTTGGCATTTATGCTATATGCCCTCTCCCTTCCCCACCCCCGCGCCCCCGTTCCACCCCACCCCGACCGCGGTAATTGAATTGTCACCTGCCCCTCTCCCGCCCCCGGCCACCAGGGCCACTTGGGAAACTCGGCCTTGCCAAGCGCCCGGGGCCTCTGAGAGCCGCGCAGCGGAGCCCGCGCCCTAGAAGCCGAGGGGTTACACACGGCTACGTAGAGGCGCACCGGACACGGTAATTAGGCGCAATTCACACGCTCTCGGGCGCACGGAAACGACTTGTCACGATATTTTCAACGCTCCTCCTAGCCTACTTTTTTCCACTCCTTCCCCGGCGCGCCCCTCCCCTCCCCTCCCGGAGGCACTCTGTGGAGCTTTTGGAGTTTCGAATCTTTCGGACACTGTAGAATGCGGGGCTCCCCGGGCGCGGGCCCGGCCAATCAGAGCGCTGTCTGCCTCCCCTGGCCAATGGCAGGCGCCACATTGTTGTCCAATTCTGTCTAATGGAGCCCTAAGGAGCAACAATAGAGCGGGCGAGCGGCTCATTGAGAGTCTGGCAGCGCCGGGCAGCTGGGGCGCGGCTGTGCGCAGCGGCCCGCGCGCTCCGCGAGGGGACGCCGCGAGGCGAGGGCCGGGTCGCGGCTTCCAGGCAGCCGGTGCCTAACCGGTTCCCCGGCTCGGATTTCCGACGGAAGGGTTGGACTGCACAGCGTTCAGAGGGGGTCCGGAAGTTCGGACATGGTGACCGAAGGAGGGTGACGTGGTCAGATAAGGGACCAGGGGGCAAGGGGGAGAGGCCAGGAGCGCCTGCATCGCGAGTGGAGCTGGGAGGTGCGAGAAGCGCCAGCGGAGGAGGAGGATTCCCGAGCCCGAGGCAGGTAGTTGAGGGACGCAGGGAGGGCAGGGGAGGTGGCCTGGTCTACCGGCCCTATTGAGGAGGCCCTGGCCACGCCGGCCTAAGGGACTTAGAAGCCCCACGGGCCTGAGGGAAGGGGCCGCTCATATAGGGAAGGGATCTAGGATACTGGGGCGGAGACACAAGGATTCGGTTCCGGGCTCTGGCGGGGACCCGGAATCCGGGGACCCAGAAGAGACAGGGCGGAAGCTCGGGGCTGGGCCTGCTTGGGCCTTCTGGGGCCGCAGCGCAGGTGAGACTCCGTTGTTAGCCTATAGCGGGTCCAGAGGCGACTCCCCTGCCTCGATGCCGTCTCCTGGGCTATTCACGTCCCGGGATCCCAATTCCGACACCAGAACTCGAGAATCTGCACTCGAGTAGGGTCCCGCAGGGACCCCAGGATGGGGACTATGTGTCTGACGATTCTGTCCCTAAACTGGAGGGGAGGAGAAGGCAGTGTGAGATGGTCAGGGAAAGGATCGCCTTTCTGTAATCTAACTTTTCGCAAGATAACTTTTCCTTCTCGACTACTCTCCCAGGCTACAAGACTAAAAATTGTGCCACAGGTTTTACTCCACCCCCACCCCCACCTTTGCCTGAGGGTTTGTTTGTTTTTCCCTCTCGGGCACACCTTCTCTCCTGCGTGAACCCTGGGACCCAGACACCCATATCAGCTGTTGTTTGGTTGTTTTCCTCACCCCTCGAGCTAACCTTCAGGCTGGGTTTGCTTTTCCAAAGTTTCTTCGGCTTAATTTTCTCTTTAAGCCTCCCCACGCCTCCTAAACTCATTTCCACACTCATTTTTCTCTCCCACTCTCTGGAGGCCCCGATCATGAAACTTGTAGCCGCCACATTTCCATGGGTCCCTGTCCCCCACCCCCACCCCCCGCCTAACTCTGCTCCTAAAATATTTGTTTTGCTAGCCTTCACTCTATTTCCTCGAGCTGTTCTTTTTGTTCCTGATTTTTCTAACTCCCCTGCTTCCACCAAAACCTTCAGATCCAGCCAGTTGAACTCCATGCCTTGTATGCTCTGGTAGCTTTTTCCTTTTCACCTTTTCACAAAACTGAGCATTTCGCCTCGGTTTTCCTGTTTTGCTGTTTTCCTGTTTCTTGGTATCAGTCTAACTGTTGGATCAAAATGTTCTCTCTAGTCCCAGTCCCATCAAACATTTCCCTCTACCTGTCTCACTCCAATTAAGCTAACCTTTGGGAGATGATATTTTGTTTTCATACCCTCGTGATTTCCATACGGAACCAGTAATTTTTCAAACTTTAAGTGTCTTTTTATTTTTGTTTTCCAGCGGAACCACTGAGTCAAACGAAATCTTAGACCCAGCGCATAAATCAGATATAAGAAGAAGAGCCCTGGTGGGGGTGGGGTGGGGGAGTTCAGCCTTACAAGGGGCATCAGAAGGCACCTCCTCCCGGCAATTTGGCAACCACTAGCCAAACTTCCGCGACCGAAATTTCCCTTGCTAAGCGTGATTTCCTCGTGGGTACGCTGTACCTTAGCACGCCGTGCGCTCCTCACCTCGAGTCTCTCCCTTCTTCCCACGGTCTTCTTTCTACGCCAGGTCCTGCCATGGAGCTGCGCTCCGAGCTGCCTAGCGTGCCGGGCGCAGCGACGGCGGCGGCGACAGCGACAGGGCCGCCCGTGGCGTCGGTGGCGTCGGTGGCGGCGGCGGCGGCGGCCGCCGCGTCGCTCCCGGTGAGCGTGGCGGGCGGCTTGCTACGAGCGCCGCCGCTGTTGCTGCGCGCGGCGGAGAAGTACCCGCGGACCCCCAAGTGCGCGCGCTGCCGCAACCACGGCGTGGTGTCGGCGCTCAAGGGCCACAAGCGCTACTGCCGCTGGAAGGACTGCCTGTGCGCCAAGTGCACGCTCATCGCGGAGCGCCAGCGCGTCATGGCGGCGCAAGTGGCGCTGCGCAGGCAACAGGCGCAGGAGGAGAACGAGGCGCGCGAGCTACAGCTGCTCTACGGCACTGCCGAGGGCCTAGCGCTCGCTGCCGCCAACGGCATTATCCCGCCGCGACCTGCCTACGAGGTCTTCGGCTCGGTGTGCGCCGCCGACGGCGGGGGGCCGGCAGCGGGAGCGCCCGCGGGGACCGGAGGCGGTGCAGCTGGCGCGGGGAGCTCAGGTGAGCGCGCGCGGCCGGACGCGGCGGAAGGGAAACAGGGACGGGGCCCAAGGGGCAAGGCCCGGGGACTTGTCTCCGTACAGAAAGAGTGGAATCCCCTTTTCTAAATGCCCGACTGCTAAAGTTCGCCGCGCACCCAGGCCCGGATTTGGGGCACAAATATAAACTCTCCTTTCTCCCTTTTCTGAAGAATTTGCCCTTTACTCCTTTTTTTTTCACCTCGGGCCCACATGTAGACCCTACAATCTTATCTCCTCTACCCAAACGCAGCCAGGTCCCAGCTTCCCTGCTCACTTCGCGGTCTTCTCCCCAGCGCGGAAATCCGCGCGTCTCCTGTTAAGCTTGGTTCTGCTTTTCACACGCCTTGGTTCCTCTGCTCCTTCCCAACTCCAGAAGCCCGGCCCTCTCCCAGTCTTCCTCCTCCGCCCCGCGCCGCTTTCTCTAGGTTTTAAAGACACCCCCTTCCTTTCCCCTCTGTGATTCCTTTTCTCAAGTTCCTAATGCTCCCCGGACAACCGCATGCTGCGCCTGCTCCTTTCTAGCCTCTTTCCCCTCTTGTCCCTCTTGTTTCCTCAGAGTAGGCGCTCACTCGCTTCCCTGGATCCCCGCTCCTCTTGCCCCCCTACTCCCAGTCTGGCCCCAGCCTCTTCTTCAAGAACAGCTCACCTTCTTCTAGGGAGGGAAGAAATTCAGGCTTGCCCCATTGGGGGCCGCCTGAGACCCCACCTTGGCAGCGAAGAGCTTTTTAGGTTTTAATTTTGGAAAGGGTGGGTTGGAAATAGGGGCTCTATTTTTGCCTGTAGAAAGGCGTGAGATCTCTTAGACACTCAAGGTGCCTTCCATTGTAAGCTATGTTGCCCAGGGCCGGAGGGCACCCAGGGCAGAGTTTGCTCTTGGAACGATGGCTGTGGAGTGGAGTCTCTCTATACAGTAGATGATACAGGTGGAAGTTGCGTTGTCTCCTGGGCTAGGCCACTTCTCCAGGTCAAGGCATAGTTAGGAAGGAGGATAACGCGTGCAGGTGCTGGGGCACAGATGTGGAAGAGGGGAACCAGACACTCAATTTACAGGGCCCAAGTGGTTGAGGTTCTAGGTACATACAAAACGAGTGCGCCCTAGGTGTAGGGGAAGTGAGACAGGACTGTAGGGGCTCAGAGAATAAGGGATATTGGAGAAAAAAAGAAAGAGGCCCTGGAGCCCAGTGAATGAAGGTCGTAGGGTACACGGAGAGAGGAAACTGGGTCCAAAGGTATAATGTACTGAGGGGCGGTCGCCTCCCCACTCCCAATCACTCTTCACATACCCTTTTCTCCCTTCCTAGAGGCCAAGTTACAGAAGTTTGACTTGTTCCCCAAGACGCTGCTTCAGACCGGCCGCCCGGGCAGCCCGCAGCCGCCACCAGGGAAGCCCTTATCACCCGACGGCGCAGACTCGGGTCCCGGGACGTCTTCTCCGGAGGTACGGCCGGGCTCGGGCTCGGAGAACGGCGACGGGGAGTCCTTTTCCGGGTCGCCCTTGGCCCGGGCGTCTAAGGAGGCAGGTGGGAGCTGCCCGGGCAGCGCAGGCCCGGGAGGCGGTGGCGAGGAGGACAGCCCGGGCTCCGCCAGCCCTTTGGGCTCCGAATCTGGTTCCGAGGCCGACAAAGAAGAGGCAGAGGCCGCCCCCGCTCCAGGGCTGGGCGGGGGCCCGGGTCCACGGCAGCGGACGCCGCTGGACATCTTGACGCGCGTCTTCCCGGGCCACCGGCGAGGCGTCCTGGAGCTGGTGTTGCAGGGTTGCGGCGGCGACGTGGTGCAGGCCATCGAGCAGGTGCTGAACCACCACCGCGGGGGTCTGGCGGCCGGCCTCGGCCCCGCCGCGCCCCCTGATAAAGCCGCAGTGGGTGCAGTAGCAGCTGCGGAAGACGCGTGGCCGGGCCGCGTCGACGCCGCCGCTGCCGGGGGCCCAGGGCTGCCCGCGCCGTTGCAGGCCGGCCCCGCCGCCCCTCCACACCACAGACCTTTGCTCGCCGGCGCCATGGCGCCTGGGGCGCTGGGCTCGCTGAGCAGCCGCTCGGCCTTCTCGCCGCTGCAGCCCAACGCTAGTCACTTCGGCGCCGACGCCGGCGCCTACCCCCTGGGCGCGCCGCTCGGCCTCAGCCCCCTGCGCCTGGCCTATTCGGCGGCAGCGGCGCACAGCCGTGGCCTGGCCTTCATGGCTCCCTACTCGACCGCCGGCCTGGTCCCCACACTCGGCTTCCGCCCGCCCATGGACTACGCCTTCAGCGACCTCATGCGCGACCGCTCGGCCGCCGCCGCCGCGGTGCACAAGGAACCCACTTACGGTGGCGGCCTGTATGGGCCTATGGTCAATGGCGCCCCTGAGAAGCAGTAGGGCGAGGGGCCCGGCATCCAGGTGGCCCCCAAACGGGGACCCCTGCCTTGATCCCGCGGGCCGCCGGTCCCTCTTCGCCAGGTGCACCCTCTGCGCCCCGGCTCGGGTCCTCTCGCTCAAAGGTGATTTTCAGTTTTGTTTTGGAAGGGTGGGGGGCTGAGCAAAAGGGAGCAACTACAGATGCAGGTGTACTCAGAGGGGGTGCGTGGCTTGAACCCCTCCTCAAGGCTCCACCAGCCCTTCAAAAGGCGGGGAACTCTTGAGATTCAGAGGCCGAGGCCGCCGCACGCGCTCCTCGCCTCTCCTTCTGCTGTGCGCGTCCCGCCGGCCCGCTCTCCAGTGGATGACAGGATAGTCCGAGAGTCTGTCTTCTATGTCTCCCTCTCCTTATTAAAATTTTTAAAAAATATTCGCTCTAACAAATATAAATTTAGGATGTATAAATCTCTTGGCACTGAGTCGAGTCTTTGGGACACACATATATATCGATATCAATTGTAAAAAAAAAAAAAAGGAAACAAGTTCTAAGGTGCACTTTCCTCGTTGCGGTATTTGTCGCTCTCTTTGTTGCTTATGCCGATAAGCATGGGTTTCCTTGGTGCAGTGTGAGTTTTTATATATGTATAAATCTATATATAATCTATACATATATATATACAAGCCAGTGTATAATGTTATAAATGGAATTCTAAGTTATTAATTGTAATCTGTAGGTGACCTCGGTATTAACGTGAAAAATATTCAGAAACAAGCAAAAAAAAAAAAAAGGAGAAAATGGAAAAAAGTAGACTATGCGCGCATTGTACTTATCAGGTTTTATAGATTAAATATATTGTGAATTCGGGACAACGCCTGCCCACCTGCCCCTCTTGCTTGCGGCCGATCTCTCCCTAAGGAGTGGTCAAGGTGCGCACTGAAGCAGACACAGAGCGACAGTGACTGAGCCAGAAACGCCCGCCCGCGGCGCATCCCCGCCTCCCGGGACTCGCCCAACGCCCGGCGGAAGGGACGGCAGCGGAAAACCCTGCTGCAGAGAATGGCTCACTTTGTGCTTTCCTTTGCATAGACATGAGCTAGAAATAAATGTTATTTTCTAAGAAAACAGCACCGAATCCCGTCCCGCTCCTCGGGCGGCCACGTTGAAAAGGTCTTGATTTCCGGCTCGGGCCCCGTGGCGCCAGCTCGCCGTAAGTCCGGCTGGTGTCTGCTCCCGGGGGGGGNGGGGGGGGGGGGGGGGGGGGGGGGGGGCGGGGGTGCGGAGCCGGGAAACTTTCCCCCGCGCAGGGAAGGGCCCGGCTGGCGGGAGCGACGCGCGACCAGAACCCCGCGAGGAGCGGCGCCCGCTGCGCGTCGGGAGCCCCGCGTGCTTCCCACTCCTGTTTGGGGCGCGCGTCGCCTTGCCAGTGCCCCGGACCCCCGGATCGCTGGCAAAGCCTCCTGCGGAATTCTGAGAGGCTGGCGGCCGGGTTCCCGTTCTCCCGGGCGGCAGATGTGGGCACGACACGGGTCGCAAGCCGCGCGTTTCCCTTCTCAAAGAGGTTTGGAACCAAGGCAGCGGAGGCAGCAGCTGGGCAAGGAGCGCTGGGATAATTTTTCCACGGAGGCTCGAGGCCTGGGAGTTATTCTGGAGGCGGGGGAGGTGGGGGGGGCGCTGCCCTTGCCCGCGGCAGTGTAATCCGAAAGTGGCGGTGAGAACGCGCGTTCCGGCCGGGTCTCGCCCAGTCCCCTAGTTGCCTTCCCTCCTCCACAGGGACTGAGCACAATAGTGGCTCTCCAGCCGACCCCCCTCCTCCCACCTGCTCCGCTCCCTGCAGGGTGACTCTCTCTCTCCGGGAAACAGGGTGCTCCCTCCCCTAGTCTGGGCCCGGCGTCATCCCAAGGTAAACTTCTGGGGCCGGCTCGAGTTCCGCCAGGCGGTGAAACTTAATAGCAGGACAAGAAAACGGTTTAATAAAGAAGGGCTTTAATAGGGAACTAATTTGATTGAGTTGCCTAATTCCACTTTAATTGGAAAGGGGTTTGGCTGTTTGGTTATAAAGTGCGAGGGTGACGATGAGATGGAAGTGGGGGAAGAAGGAGCGAGAGAAGAAAGATGGAGGGCAACAGAGAGAACGGGCGAGAAAGGGAAGGAAGATAGGAAGGAAAGAAGAGGGAGAGAGAAAAAAAGGAGGGAAGGCTAGAGAAAAGCACGCACTTCTAGAAGTGTGAACTTTCTTGCCCTTCGTTCATGCCCTTCCCTCAGCCTCCTACTCCAGGTTTTTGGAGGCCTCGCCAGCTCCCAGCACAGGTTCCAGCCGCCCCCTTCCTGGCCTCTGCCTTCATCCCCATCCAAGGTGAATTTAAGATCACTCTGGGTCTCTTGGTTTCAGGAGAGACCTACATGGAGTCTCCTGGAGCTCCTTGGTTCCTGGGCTGCTCAAGGCAGACCCCAGGGGTTGGCCTGGCAGCCAGCATTACCCACTCTGAGGAACAAGCAGAGCGGGGCGTCATCGACTTCAAGATTAGTATTTTAGTTCAATTTCACAGCAAACTCAGAATAATCGAGTGATTTGTTTATTATTGGCTCCATTTTACAAAGGAAGAAACTGGGGTCCAGAGTGGTTTGCAGACTTGTCCAACCATCCGGGGACCCTGGACCTCCTTTCCTCTGCACTGTGCCAGTGGACCTTCTCCTCCTTCTCCTCTCTCCAAGCAATCTCTCCTGGCTGTTGGTGGGGGCTCTGAAGAGCTGCCTCTCATGTGTACCCCTGTGGCTTAGAGAAAGGAAGCAACTTGCCTCAGCTCCAGGCTGCCAGCGGTTGGGTTGAACTTAGAATGATTCATGAGTGGTGAAACTTTGAGAGGGTAATAGTGAGGGTCCCAGGCTCCTCTCCTCCTGGCCCTGTGATCTTGGTGGCCAAGATGCGGTGATGGAAACCCAGGGCTAGCAGTCACAGCCTTGACACTTAGCGAAGTCCTGCACCCCATGCATGGTCCTGACCACACTGCAGAGTCAGGAGTACTGAGGCTCAGAGACTGGCAGTGACCAGCCCAGAGTTGCACATTCAGGTTCTGGGGAGTCAGAATCAGAAAACAGGACGCTCAAGCCAGTTTGTTAGGTGGCAGTGGTGGGAGTGGGGGCTGAGTCAGTATGTGCCTTGGTTTGGAGGAATCTCTGCAGCAGGTGGGAGGGGGCTGGGGCCTGAGCGCCGCTGAGATCTGGGAGATCTTGAGGAAGGCAGTAGAATCACCTCTTCATTGAGGGGAGAAGAAGGTGGGATGGGAATTTCCTTCTTGACCTCTACTATCTATATTGTTCTCAAACTTTCTCCTAAGTCTGCTGTAGCTGCCCCTGGCATGGGAGGACCTGGGATCTGGGTCTGGATTACCATAGGGGATTGTTGTAGTAGTCACTTCAAAATTATCCCCCCATTCTCCTTTTCAAAACAACAGCAGCAGCTACATACTATTGAGTACCTATTGTGTACTAGGTCTCCTTTGAGTAGAAGTTATGTAAGATGATAGCACCAAAAAATGACCAGGGGAAGCAGGGACCAGGAGAGTAAAGGTTGACTTCAAGAACTATCAGGAACCAGACTCTCCACTCATGATCTAATGGGGGTGGGAGTGAGGGGAGTAAGCCAAGAGGAGGGCTCACAGGTAATTCCCAGGTGTCTGGACCACTTGACCCTTTGCAGGTGACAGAGTGGTGGGCTCCTGGAGGAGAGACAAGATTGGAAGATGAGGAAAAGATTTCAGTATTCAACATATAGAATTTGTGGAACTTATGGGGTCTCTGGGTGTGGACACCAAATGGTCAAGAAAGAGTCAGCATGTGGGTGGCAGCAGGGCCTTGGGAAGGATGAAGTGGCCCAGCCCTTATCCCAGTTGGACAAAGGATTCCCTTAGTGTAAGCCATGGGCCTGGGCGAGGGATGTTGAGAACCCAGACACTGGCGTTCTGCCTCTCATCTTTTCTGTTCATTCCAAGAAGGTTGGCATCTGAAAAATCATTCTCTTAAAAGTTTGCACCCGGTGAAGGCTATTGTCCTGGAGCAGGACCCTGGGCAGCCTGTGCCTGACTTTGTTGTGACACCGATGAATCTTAAATGTCAGGGTTCCCCACCTGTACAAGTCCTTTTCAAACTTTCCCTGCTCTCTACTCCCTGATGCTTTAGCTTTAGTGGGTTTTTGCCCTTTCCCCACGTGTCCATCCCCACCTCCCTCTACCCCTGCACTCTGGCCACACTGAACTCCTCAGAGTCACCTAACAGACAATGAACTTTCCTGCATCTTTGCCCATGCAAGTCTGGGCATGGCATTTCTCTGCCTGGAAAGCCCTTCCTTTTTCTTCTACTTTGAGGATTGTCCTCACTTTTGCCAATGCCCAGTGACACCAATGGAATTTAAAGTTCCAGACTCCTCACTTGGAGGAGAAGATGGCTGTGGAGGAGGAGGACCCTAGTTTCAACTCATCCCATGAATACAACAAAATAAGTATCTTAAATACCCCAGAAATCCTAAATATCCTACCTGAAGACTGGCAGAACAAACTCCATAACTAAAGGTAGGGAAGAGGCCACGTCAAAGAAGGTAGGAAATGAGGAGACACAGCTTGGGAGACAAAGGGCTCCTGGGCAGCCATTTCCTGGAGGAGGGAGCTGTGGTCACAATGAAGGGTGAGAGACAAATAAGCACACAGGGGAGCACGTGGGGGAAACAAATCCCCATAGCAATTGGCTTGGAAAGCAACAGGGCCTGAATTTTGTGAGTTCCTGCAACCATCAGGGCTTAAAGCCTGGACTTTTAAAGGTCACTGTGTTTGGGTCTAGGAAAGCTTGAAGGACATTGGGGCTGCTCTTGGAGAAAAGGCAGAGCAAACAGCCCATGGACATACAGCTTGGAAACAGTGATCTCAAGAGCACCTGGGGCACATGTGGAGAGGTTAGTCGCACATCTCAGAGCATGTCCCAAAGAGGCAGCATTCACAGAGAGACCCTTCTGGGAACAATGAACTAACTGGCACCATTTCCCTCCTCTGCCCATCTGCATAAACACAGAGCAGTGCCAACATGCTCTACCTAACTTGCTTATACCAAGCTCCACACTTTGTGCTTCAGAAGAACTGCCTTTTCCAATCACACTTGCCTCAGTCCCAGCATGGCAGGGACCTCCACCCAGAAGACTGGCCTAAACCCCTGCAAGTACCAGGTCTCTTGACCTTGGAGTTTTGTGAGGCCTCCATTCTGGCGGTAGTGACAACAGGTCTCATTTCACAAGCAGACCAGAACACACTTACTGAAAACGTGCCACATCCAGGCCAGCGAACAAACTCTGTGCACAACAGGCAAAGAGAGCCTCAGCACACCACTGGCCTGCAGTATAAAGTGGCCTGGACACAACAGCAGAGTGCAGCACACAACACATATTGGAGGCCCTGAGGAACCGGGGGGACACTGCACTGCAGGGCACTACAGGACTTCTTCTTCCCATAAGCCATTAACCTCCAGAAAAGGAGATGTAGCTGGCTTTCCTAACACAGAGAAGCAGGTGCAGAGACTCAGACAAAATGAGAAGACAGAGGCATTTGTCCAAAATGAAAGAACGGGACAAGGCCACACCTGGAGATATAAGCAAAACAAATATAAGTTACATACCTGATGGAGAATTTCTTTTCTTTTCTTTTTTATTTTTTAAGGTCTTATTTTTAAATAATCTC